CACACACACACACACACACGCACACGCACGCACACGCACACACACAGCCAGTGTGATTTTCAAGCTACCAAGGCAGGATTTAAACTGCTGTTGGCCATGTGGAATCTGGCTCTACACCTCTTAGCCTATAGAGCCAGGGCCAGCCTGATTCATCTCTTATCTTTATTGTCTCATGAATTCCTACAGTTTCTCACCAGTCATGGTAAATAATTATAATGTGTTGAAATCAAAACAACTTTTTTTTTGAATGGAAGAGACTGACTGGGCCTCTTTCTCCAATTGTTTTGCTCAGGCTACATATTGTCCACAATATTCTCCATTCCTTTTTCTTTAGAAGAGGAAATTTTGTTGACAGATTTCCATAGTAAATAATGTCTTTGTATTTTTTGCAAATGTGATACATCAGTTGGTATACTGAAGTAAATTATAGAAATATGATGTGAAAAGTAGGGATTATTTTCTGACCTATGATTGAATTTGATCTTTCCTTACAAAGTCAGACTCTTCTACCTTTTGTTTAGCTTAGAGTAAACTATGAGCTTCTCCCTCATCATTATCTACAATGTTTGATTTCCTCTTATTGTATTATATGTTCTGTAATTCCTTTTCCATCTTAACTATTAGATATTGGCAGAACCATTAAAATAAAATTAGGAATTGCCTAATAGGTAAAATATATTAACTTTATTTCTATTACGAATTTATGCTTGCAATCCTGCCTTGACTTTCAATGCTTCTTGGTATCTATTTTGCCCAATATACATACTATTTCCAAACTTTCCTACTCTCAAAAGTATAGAATATCATATTTATCCCATTTGCCTTTGCTAAAATGATTAGTGTAAGGTCAAAGGATGCCAACTGTCTCAATTTTCTCCCTCTCAATGAAGTTGTTCTCTCTTTCTCTGTTATAAGGTATAAGCACTTGCCAGGGAGAAGGTGAGAAAACACCTCCAGAGGGGATGGTCACACTGCAATTCCTTCTCCTCCAGTCTGCTCTCAGGACTTTGGGCATGTACACATACACAACCAGTATTTCCTATGCTGCTGTCAACCTGCACAGTTTGTCATGTGGGATCCAGTTACCCCACGTCACCAGTTGATCCACTCTCTTGAGCTTTTTATTCATCTCCTGTTCCTTCATTCTCCCCCTCCCCCAAGAAAATGAAACATTTTCCCTTCTAAGTCTAATGTGTCAGATTTTCCTTTAACTTTACTTACTCTTCTTGATTCTCCAACTTTCTTTGTCCTCTATCAATACAGGGTCAAGTACAATACTTATTTTCTTTCTGTTTTGTTTTTCAAAAGGAGTAAATATAGGGTGTTTAAGATTTAAGACTTATTATATTAAATGAGCCTTTCTCCTTTCTAGAATATCATGCTAGTCTAGGAACCAGCCTATTCAAGTAAATCTTTTTTTTTTTTTTTTTGAGGGTTTTTGCTACGAGGCATGTGTGCTCACCAGAAAGACAGAGAGAGACAGAGAGACAAAAAGAGAGAAATCACCCCTCAGGGGGGATGGCCACACCACAATCCCTTCTCCTCCATTCTCCTCTTGGGATCTTGGGCACGCACACATACATGCCTGGCATGAGTTTAAGCCACCAGGTCCGGGACTCGAATCTCAGTCAACTACAAGGGAGTTCAGCGACATAGCCATTACGCTAACTGCTGGTCCCCCTATCCAAGTAAATCTTTAGCTAAAGACAAACTCTTTCCACTTCATGGCCACCATCACCAAAAGGTTGAACTGAATGAGAATGTCTAAATCTTCAGGACCCAACATGGGTACAATGAAATCCTTTCCTTTATCTTCAAGATAAAGGAAACTAAAAATATCTAAGGGAGGTCTGCTGCAGAGAAGTTCTGCCTTGGATCGTCTCTCAAATCATGGCCCCTTGGTCAGTCATAGAATATGACTACTATTCACATGCTGAGAAAATATTTTTTAAAAATTTGTTTGTGTAACAGTTATTTTTAAATTTCTCACTTTTTTTAGAGTATTATTTCTTATCAAGGTCTTCCTCAATGAACATTTTGCAATTAATTGATTTGTTTAGCATGATGTTACCAAATTTCTAATGATTCTCTAGTATAATATCTACTTTAGCTTACTACATATTGCAATAATTGCTCCCTGAAAATGTAGGCCACATCTAAAATAAATTCTTAACAAGTGTTTCTTCAATGAAAGAAATGTTGATACAATTATTTGAATGATTTACATTATTGTTTAATCTTTAGATCCTTCCTTCCTTACTTCCATGAGTGAGAGATAGAAAGGGAGACAGAGAGACAGCACCCCCCAACAGGGTACTGATGATATAATACAGGCTCATCTTTGGCCAAACCTGGATATTCATCTTCCAAGGGAGGTCAACAGGCTCAAACTTGTCATGAGGGTCAGCTTCTCAGAAAATTATCTTTTACCATTCTGCCACCACCTGCCCCCAAAACATGTGATTCATTATTCTTCACATATTTTAACATTAAACACAATTGTATTAAAGCAAAGAATATGGTTAAACAATATTAACATATAATTCTTCAAAGATATTGAATATATATTTTAGTTTTAATAGTTTTTATGTTTTAGGATGTCAAAGAGTTCTTTTGTTGGCTTTGTTTGTAACACAAATCAAAATACACTTGAGGCCCACTTAATAATATACTGAGGGTCTACACTCAATGGTGAAAACTGAATGACTAAAGGTTATAGAAACTTAGTTAATGGTTGTGAATACCAGATACAGTGTGGGAAGAGGGCAGGCAAAGGAGTAAAGTCAGAGGAAGGACGTTAAGGAGAAAAATAGAGACAAGGCATTTATGGGACAACGAAATGATTGTTATCTATTGAAGATAACTTTATAGTATTGTCAACTGGACTGGTGAGAAATATACACATGTTGGAATATTCGCTTTGTAAGCTAAGAATCATGTGAAAGAATGTATGAAAGAAGTTGAAATAAAAAGAAATTTAAAAAATACACCTAAGGCTTCTGATAGGCCTACTGTAACTTCGAAGATGGATCATGTTAGAAAGAGTAGATGAACAATGTGCTAAATAAGACAAACAAAAACTTCTTGAAATAAATGACAAAATATGGCTTAGAAATACAATAAATTGGGCTGGCTTCATGTCCTGGTGATTAATGCCACATTACCAATTCCATGGTTGGAGTCCCAGACCAGGAGGCATAAGAAACATGTGAAACATGTGTGCATTTCTTATATGTACAAAATTCCAATACAAAGGAGAAATAGAGGAAAGGGGATTGAGATACGACCATTCCTCATGGAGGAAGATTTCTCCCTTTCCTTGTTTCTCTCTCTCCATCTCTTTGGTAAGCACACGTGCACTATGGCAAAATGTTTTTCAATAATAAATTTAAAAAATAAAAATACAAAAATGCACTTATAAGATATATCTAATATTCAAAATGGTACATAATAACAGTTAAAACTTACATTCTAGGGACAAATAGTTGGTGTAATGGCTATGTCACTGGACTCCTATGTAGCTGACTGTGGTTCGAGTCCCGGACCTGGTGGCTTAAACTTATGGTAGGCGTGTGTGCATGTGCCCAAGATCCAGAGAGGAGAGCAGAGAAGAGATTGTGGCATGGCCATGCCCCCTGGGGGGTGACTTCTCACTTTCTGTCTCTCTGTCTATCTCTGTCTTTCTGGCAAGTGCATGTGCCCGATAGCAAAAATCTCTCAAAAAAAAAAAAAACTTACATTCTATAAATACAATATTATTTTATATATAATAAGTTAAGATCTTTAAATGTTAGTTTAATATATTTTAATTATTTCCCTTAACTTATGTATATGAGATATTTAAAGTGATATCTCACTTAGAATTTTGTTTTAATTTTGCTATAGGGCATGTGCTGGAAAGAGAGAGAGAGAGAAAGAGAGAGAGAGAGAATATCCTCCAGTCAGAAAGACCAGGCTGCCATCCCTTCTCTTCCATTCTCCTCCTTTAATTTTGGGCACATGTGCCCAGCATGTTTTGTTTGTTTGTTTGTCTGAGCTTTTTGCCTTAGGGAGCATATGCTCTCTAGAGAGAGACAAGGAGAAGGAAAGTAAAAAGTCATCCCCCAGAGGGATGGCCATGCTCAAATCCCATCTTCTTCATTCTCCTCTTGGGATTTTGGGCATGCACGCACATACGCCGGCATGATTTTCAAGCCACCAGGTCAGGAACACAAACCCTGATCAGCCAAATGGGAATCCAGTGCCTTAACCACCACACCACCTTCTGGCCCCACCTCCAGCATGTTTTTTAAGCCACTGATGGCTGACTCAAAATGCACAGTCATGAGAGATCTAGCATCCATAACTATAACACCAGCTGGTCTAGCATTAATCTTTTGTAAATTTAAGGTAAGCCTAAAGAAAAATAATTATTTATAAAATGAGCTATGCTATGATTTATAAAGTACATTAATCACTAAAATAATAGCTAATAGATTGAATGCCATCTTCAAAGGAAATATAGATTTTATACAAGATTTCATAATTATTACATTGAGCAAACACACAACCTCATGAACTAAATATTCTTATTCTTTTTTTAATAGTTGAGGATGTAAAAATAGAAAAATAATTTAACTTACTTATAACTACCACCTAGTAAGTGGTAGAATCTGGTTTTGAGAGATATGCCTCTTTCTAAACAGTATGCAATTATTAAACTATTTCCAAACTATTATGCAATTTTTCTTCTTGATAATAATCCTCATTATTTGTAAAATATTTTGAAATAGTAAAGAAAAAGACAATAGGGTAATAATGGGAAACTTAACTATGAAGTAAAATTAAAAGCTGATTTGGAAATAGAATTATGTATTTGAAATTATTCAATTTACTTATGTAAATGATCTCTACATGTACATTTAAAGTCAAAGCACTTTTATCCCTTTGTTCTAGCTAACAGAATAATGTGCTATTGTGACTCTTTTCTGAGGTAACTCTAAAATTCTTGAGGGCAGAGACCAGGTGTTTTGCTCAACATTGTTAAAGTCTGGCATAATGGGGCCACTCAACAAGGTGTGTCTAATGATTTAATGAATTAACAGAAGAGAACTAATTTTAGGCATTCTCCAATTACACATGAATTTGTTCAGTCAAAAAGCATAGACACCTTCTATATGACAGATATTAGACTAGGTGGCAATAAACAAATATGGGTAAGTAAAATTAATTATTTTCTTTCTAAGAGTTCACAGTCTGGTGGTTGAGAGAGATAAGTGAAAAGTTAAATATAGTTTTAAATAATGAACAATCTAATAAACATACATTAATTACATTATGAATGTACAAGAACAGGTTGAATTAATGTTCAGGGATGATATTCCAAAATAGGTTGAAAGGTTGTAAAAGCTTCCAAAATGTACTTACAGAGGAAAGTGAATGCACATTTAAGAAGTGGGAGCATCTGTTGATGAGGATCTATACAGTATTCACAACTGGGCTGGACTGAGGTGTATTTCATGCTGGGTACAGTCTCTTTACAATCTAAATTATGTATAGTGATTGAATGCATAACTAATAATAATACTAAAATTTAAAAATGCAAAAAAAAAAAAAAGACAGGAGTATCTAACTTTAACTATGTTCATTAACCATACTCAAGAAGGGGTGGTAAGGGAAATAAAATTAAAAAATGTGTAAGAAATAAACCAAGGACACACATGCATAATGATGATAATTCTGTGTAATTCAGTGTGTCCAAGGGTTTCATTCTCTTCCCAGCACCAATCTCCTTATTTAATTCAATACACTATTTGGTGCCTAACACACAAGTATGACTGACAATGAAAAGAACATGGTGCCTGTCCCCACAGAACATACAACCTAGTAAGTAGAAACTTCTGCAAATGGAAATTATAATTTCCTATCTGAACCAGAGCCTATTCATTGATTCTATGCATGGTTTCGTTGATATACAGAGAAACCTTAAATTATAATGTTACGTATTAGGAGATTTACCCCCTGAATTTCCCTTTACGTCTGTCAATTCGATGCTAGATGAATTTATTGGCAATTTAATCATAATAAAAAATGTATTTCTGATTATGAGAAAACTATATCAGTTAGGATGAAATAACAAGATAACTAAACAAAAGCCTTAAATTTAAAATGTCAATGAGGCTCTAGTGCAAAACCTTGAAGTCACAGAGCCAAATTTCTATAAATTTCCATCCTAATAGATCCAGTTCAACTAGAATTAGAAATTTAATCGCTTAAAATATTTTTGCTGTAATTTTTAATCATTGGCATTGCAGGCAGCAGAATACAGAGGAAAGCTCAGAAAGTCATATCTTATATAACTCAGGTTTTCAGAAAGAAACCACATTATTGTTCTCAGCACTATTAAAGGCTATCTACATATCTTTTGTGAACAACAAACATGTAAAGTGGTAAAGCTGTGACCATTCAGCTGGACTTCCTTGAAAGCTACTGACTTGTTATTTGTGCTCCAGTCTCCTTCCTAGGAGTTATCCAGTATTCCAATGAAACAGCAAATTCAAGCCTGTCACTCCTAGCTGAAAATTCTTAAATTCCAAATCTAAGATCCTGAGGGTGCTTGTCAAATCTATCTCCATATTCTGAAATTTGTATGTTACTTTTGGTCATTTTATGTCTCCATTGTATTCTAGTTTTACTAAACTATATACCTTTTTCTGCACACCAGTAAGTTAGCTTTGAATGTGCTGTTGTTCTACCTGCTTGAAGAAAACACCTGTTGTCTGATCTCTGTCATTCATCATCCTGAATGGACACAACTGGGTGACAGAGGAAAATCTCAGTTCTCTCACTTAGCTGGGGACCCATGTACCTACACTACTAAGTAATTCTGAGGTAAAATGTTGATATCCCCTATCATCTGCATATGACTACTTGGCCTTTTTAATTTTTTTTTAACACAATGTGTGCTGTTCATTCTTATAGGTGTTTCCAGAGGCACCCTAAGTTTATTAACAACAAGAAGTTATAATGTGCTCTAAATAATAGTAGCAGACTCCTTAGTAGCACCAAAATGATAGAATATAAAAAATTGGGTTCTTTGCTAACTGGTCAGAATTACCTCAGACTCATTTGATTACAAAACCATGGTGCTCTATACTAACTAACAGTTCTTTCTTTTGAGTAAAGAGTCTTTATATAAGTGGTTCTTATAGCTTACTTACTGGTCTTTCTCTATTTCAAGTGCTAATTCTATCTGCCAAGTGTGAAAATACATATTAATTTAAGTTTAAAGTTCTCTTAATAAAAATAAAATTCCCTAATTAACAAAAAGTGGTAAAGATACAGTATAAAGAAAAAATATTCAAAAATACTTTGGCTTGTTGACATAGAAATGTATTTCAGCATAGTAAGATTAAAGGTTTTCCTTGACCAGTCACATGACTGTTACCTACTTTGAAGAATCCAGCTATGTGTGCTACACCAAGGCCTAGAATTAAACACCTTTACCTTTGTATCCGTTCAGCTATTGTCCCTGTTAATGTGGTTATGCCTCATTAACTAATTGAAAGAGAAAGAATTTGTTGCTTTTTGTGTTAAATTTTCATATTGTAATCATTTACCTTTTAAATATATGCACCGAGCTTATTACATAGGTTTATTAGTTGTATTCATGCTCTGGAGACACAGTTTAATAAAATCTCCTGAGATTACAATGAAGTCTAATAATTGCTTTGATAGTGATATGAGCAGGCCAAGAGGAATACAGAAAAGACATGGCATGGCATGCAGGGATGAGTGAAGACTACACGGGGAAGTAGCACATGAAACGAATCTAAGAAAACATGCCCCTATGAGCAAGTCCTGTCAAGAGGCAAAGATGATCACGGAGAAGCATGCAAAGACCTTATTTGGAAAGCAGGTAGGGCAGTTTTTTGTATGTATCTCAGATCACAAAGGGCTTCTGATGCCAAGCAAGGGAGGTGAACTTGATCTTTTAAGGAGAGTGGGTACTTAACATATTTTAAGCAGAGAAAGGACAGATGACTCATTCCATATTTTGTGGTAAAATATCTTCCCTTGGTTTTCAGTGGATAACAGGACAACAGCACTAATGGCTACTGGTATTAACACCAGGATTAAATAGCAAAGAAGTATATCCTACACAGAAATAATTCCTCTAGTGGCTTAATAGATCATATTGCGCCTATCCAAAATGAAGTGCTTTGTTAGAAAAAGTACTTTACGAACATGGTTTGTTGTTCATGAAGACTTGCATTGAACTGCAATGAGTTAAATAAATAAACATACATAGAGTAACGAGCCCCGGGAGTGTTTTTCTTCCCTACTGTCTCTGTTGACTACTAACAGAGACTTCAAAACCTTAAGACTGCAGACACAGTTTGAAAACCACTAGGTGAAGGTGTTTAGTTCTGATGAAATGTGGGGAGCCTTATCATTCACCCATACTCCTGGGAGTGCTAACACATTAAGTCATAACTTTCTAATCTAGAAGTTTGGTAGTGCTGAGAGATGCTTTTATTTGCAAAAATAGAGCTAGGAAGGAACAAAGTGAAATCATTTGGGGATATCATTTTTACAGACATAAAATTAAGAATTCATTGAGTGCTTATATGTAGACTATAAAGCATATGAGTACATATTTTATATGTGTTAAACATATATAAAATAATTTTGTTTTAAAGTAAGTTTCCCATTTGTGTATTTCCCATTTGAGTTCTATGAAGTGATAAATTCTAATGCATACATATATTGTAATTATTCTTTTCTTCTGGCAGCATTTAATCATAATTTTTGTCACCTAAAGTTGTCCATTCTAGAACTTGATTTTTCATGATAAGGAATTCATTAACCATATAGTGTGAATTGGGTGCTGGCATCACCCAAAGTCCATGCAGCTTTGAACAGAGGAATGCAGACATAAGTACTTTCATAGTAGTACAGAAGTGGGGAATTACACTTAAGGAAACTGATTTAAATTAATCGTTAGATATTCTATCCAGAACATATTTGCATGTGTGTAGAAGTATGAATGCATTTGGCTAAGTTAAAATGCACTGAAAAAGAAAGACGTGTGCTTACAATCTTCTTCAGCTTATCAGTTGTCACCTTTTCACCTTTGAACTGCTTGGGTCAAATACAGTATAAATCTATATGCTCACATTTGAAAATTGTACAGATTTCAAAAAAAAAATGACAGGACATTTAATGAGAAGAGGATACTAAAACTCAATATTATTCATACTAAGCTATCTAGAATGTTTTTGCATATGTTAACTCTTGAGCTAGAATAATTTTAAGAAAGTAAGCATTAAAATACCACTCCTCGATGCAGAATCATTTCAGAAGTACACTTATGCCATTCCATAATGAGAACTGTTTTTAAAAATGTAACTAATCATTTTCACAAGACACATTTTTGGGGGGCAAATGATCTGTTACTTTTACTTATTTTTATCTATGATATTTGATATTTCAACCAAAGCAAATATACTGTGTTAAAGTAGGTTCATATATGTAAGTAAAAAGAAAAAATGTTGTTTAATTCTTTCCTTTGAAAAGAAGTCGATTCAACTATTATAACCCTTTATCTTTATGTTTTACAATCTTTCTCGCTTTCCTCTCTTCCACCAGAACCAAAGCTGAACCACAACAGTAACAAAAAGAAAAAGACTCCAACTTAAACATATAATGCCTGTCCTCAAGAACCTCAGAATAAAATAACATTTTATGAGATTAAAAATATGCAGAAGGAAACAGTGCCAGGATTTACCAACATTTGTATTTTTTTCCCCTAAAATTCTAGGGTTTTTTTTACAGAATATATTATTACACCAACAGCACACACACAAAAGGAGTGGTTAAAAATCATTCAGTACGTTCTCAAAGAAAATCACCTGCCAGGAAAGGTGTCAGCAAGATCTTTATGGAAAGAATTGTAAAAAGCCTGTGTCATGACTGAGCATATGGAATTTACTGACCCTTCAACTTTAAGAAACTGAAGTAGAATACCTAATGTCAAATGCTGCCCTGAAGAGCCAGTCACAGGATATTGTAAAGAGTGTTTATATCTCAGGGTATGAAGAAGGGGGGAGAAAAGTAATAATTCTGTAGAACAGCCCCAGGGCGCTTGCATTTTGAATCCCTGCCACAATAACCAGATCACCACTGGGAAGTGGATATATTCTGTAACAACACAGACTTGCACTATCAGGAGACAACCATGTAAAACAGGAGAGGCAACAGGATTAAAAATAGAAATACAGAAAGAGGAGAGTAATTATATCCACTGCTTAACAGTTTGCTAAGGCAAGGGATTTTTATAAATCAGATGTGCATTTATTTTTCTGACTACCTTTACTATATTAATTCTCAAGGTATTTTGACATTGTTTTTTAGAACATCATAACTGAACAACCAAAATAATTAAAGGCCAGACTGTTTACATTTCCATAATGTAAAATATACAGGGAGAAGAGGTTCATCTTCCATTTTCATGTAATGATGATATGACTGATTTACAAAGTAAACCTTAGTACGAAAAGATGCAATTTGAGAATAAAAATGAGAGGACCTGATTTAGTGAGACTTAACCAGTTTCTAGACTGATGAATGATTTATTCACAGGCAACTGAAATATATTTAGTAGGTAACAGCTTTGTAATGCACATTTATATTTTATTATAAATCATTTTGACTTTTTGATAACACAGAAAATCTTCCATCTAATGAGTTTCTACTTTACCTCAAATTGAAAAGCATACTAAACACCGTACTTAAGCCTCCTATATTGATTGGTCATATATTGCACATATAACAAAATTAAATAACAGGCACCATGCTAAGCTATGTATACGAAATACAAAACATTTTTCTAAGCCCAGAGGACTTAGTTTGCAAAGTTCTATAAAATGTCTTTTAATTCTACTCTCTGCGAGCCATCGGAGAAGCAACTCCACAATCTTCACCATATTATAGTCATAAATAAAAATATCGGGAGACACAACACATTTCATTACCCTCAAGGAGGATGCTATAACAGATTTAAAAATCCCTGTGGAAAATCGTGTTCATTATTACCTTGCTTGAATTCACAGAATCCTAATGCCATTCTATTTCTGTATCATCCTCGTCAATACTTTCACACTGCTCAGTTTTCCTTTATTTATTTTCCCCTTTATTAAAAGTTTGACTATAGATTAACTTCCTAAGTAGTGAAGCCATTTAAAGCACACTTACTTGAAAAGTGTAAAACCGGGTCCCATTAGGAGGATGCACTTTAGGGGAGCCAGAAACGGTGTTCATATCCGAGAAAATCATTTCTGATCACAGAGACAATATAATCCACAAGGAGCTACAGATGCAGAGCAGAGAGCTTAGCGTACAGATAAATCCGTGCATGCATTGAGGGAGACTAGAGGGTAAAATGAAATCTGCCCCATCCTTCTTAGATACACAGTGATAGCATTTTGAATATTTCTTCTACATTTGAAATCGAAGCTGAAAGGTCACCAGCCACCGACCTTCTATGCAGCTAGTTCCTTTGAACATACAATGCTTGTTTAAAAAAATTTAAAACACAGAGGAAAAAAGCAAGAACCAACGATAAATGGAGCTTGTGCAGAATCTGGCAGTGCTGTGGACCTGCCCATCTGTTCCCAGTGATAATCACCTCCCTCCACCACAGTCTAGCAGAGTGATTATGCTAAATATCCTGGTTAACCAATAACATACAGTTTCATTTCAGGGAAGCATGCACAGTGTAATTCAGAGGACCTCTTCTGACTAACCTGAAGCATGTTTCACATACTGCTTAAGGCTGTATTTGGTAACAAATCACTGCTTTATCACTCTCATTTCTGTATACTAAATCTCTTTGTTACTCCTGGAAGTCTTTTTAACAAGATGTTAAATTTGTACAAAGTCTTTTTCTAAGTGAAGTGTTCTTTTGTAATTTATAGCTCAAAGTATATTATAGCTGACTAGAACACTGAAAGGCAATGCATACAATTCAGTAAGGCTCTAGAACATAGGAATATTTACAAATAAAGTGCGCCAAATATCTTTCATTTTTCTGAACTCCTAAAGAAAATCTTAAATATGAACATAATTATCATTGCCTCATTTCCCCCATATTAGCTAAAAAACATCATTAAGTTTGACAATGAATGATTTTAAAAGTATTGTATATTTGTTTGAAATAATTACAAACTTATTTCATATATGCAAAACAATAAACAAAGCATCTTTTACATGCATCAAAAATTTTGACTCAGGACCTAAAAATACTGATTGCAAATATTTAGATTGTTCTAAAAAACTGTTCATTTTTCTTTTTTCTTTTTTGATTTTTTTTTTTTTTTTTGTATAGGGCATGCATGCTCACCAGAAAGAGAGAAACGGAGAGACAGAAAGCAAGAAATCACCCCCCAAGGGATTTGGACATGCCACAATCCATTCTCCTCTTGGGATCTTGAGCACGCACGCACACATACCCGGTGTGAGTTCAAGCTACCAGGTCTGAGACTCGAACCGCAGTCGACTACATGGGAGTCCAGCAATACAGGCATTATGCCAACTGCTGGTTCAGAACTGTTCATTTTTCTATGTCTTTTACAGATCATTCAGTCTATATAAAAGATTATATTCAGATGACTTGAAAAATTTTATAGGTAAAAAAAATAATTGTTCCATTTACACATGGTTCAAAGGTGGATACTCAGGAGAGTGGAAAACAGAATAAGTCAAAGTAATGTACACATTTATATATAATCAAGAACCAGGAACCACTTCATTTGAGTCTACAGGTTTTAAAAGAATGGATCCTTTTAACTTATTACATTTGTACTTTTTTGATTCTCCAACTATGCATTATATTTAAAAGGTAAATAGGAGGAAGTAGAAAAGTGACTCTAAATTCCTTAGGTGGATTTCCTATATCCTGGGTAATTAAGTAGCAAACTTCTAAATAAGTCAGAAGGTAATTTTTCAATAAAAGCTTGATTTGAGGATAATTTCAAATTTTCAGAAAGGTTGCAAAGGTAGTACAGAGTTCCCAGATACCCCTCACTCAGTTTCCCCCATTGTCATCATCTCATATTACCATGATTTAACTATGAAACTGCATTGGTACGTTATTAACTACATTCCAGATACTACGTGAATTTTCCTAGTTTTTCCACTAATGCTCTCCTTCTGTTCTATGTTCTAATTCAGGACAACACATTCTTTTCAAGATTATTTATATTTCTTTCATGAGTGAGAGAGACAGACAGAAAGGCAACACTACCAACAGGGTCAAAACAACGTGATCCACTGAGCATCTATCAGCCGTGGATCAAGGGTACAGACTGCCTAGTATATTCAGGAAGGTGTTTGGACACTAACTCAGAACTTTCCCATGTACGTCAGCCTGGCTCAGAATCATTTACCCACTGCACCGCCATCTTGTCCCCCCAGAAAACCACATTTAGTTGCCATTTCTCTCTGGTTTCTTCTGGTCTATGACAGTTTCTCATTTTTCCTTTTTTTTTTTTTTTTTTTAATGACCCTAATGGTTCCGAAAAGTACTGGTCTAAATATCCTGTAGATGTCCCCTGATCAGTGCTTATATAGATAACGCATGTTTGACGTTTCCTTCATGACTAGACTGGGGCTATGCATCTGGGGAAGAATGCCAAGGTGTCCTTCTAAGGTGTCCATTCTATTGGTGGTATGTGGCAATCACCTAACATCACTAGTGATGTTAACTTTCATCAGTTGTTTAGCCAGGTTTTTGTACTGAAAAGGTTTTTTTTTTTTTTTTTTTTCCATTTCATACTAATTTCTTTGGAATTGGTCACAAGTCAAATATACCATGAACAGAATGGGCAAGGAAGAGTAAAATTAAGTTCTAATTTTTTTAGGATTTTGCTTTAGGGTGTGTGTAATTGCTAGAGAGAGGGAGACAGAGAAAGAGAAAGGGAAAGTGAGAAATCACCTCCTAGGGGGATGGCCACAACTTAATCACTTCTCCTCCATTCTCCTGGGATCTTGTGCATGCATGTACACATGCCTGGTGGGAGTTTGAAGCCCCCAGGTCTGGAGCTCCAACTGTGATCAGTCATAGGGAGTGCAACTATGTAACTGCTGTAACATCTGCTGTCCCCAAATTCTATATTTTTGAGGCACGAATGTCTACATATATTAAGTGGAATTCTTCCATAAAGAAAATTAATATCTTCTCTTTCAATTATTTATCTTTTCAATATTTTATTTATATCTATACAGACTCATGCATATTTATTTTATACTTGGAATTATAATTTAATATTACATAATGATTTGTTGTTCATACTGTTCCAGCTTTGGCTGCTGGGAGGTCCTTCACTTCAAGTTTGTTTCTATGTCCCTTTCACATGCCCCATTTTTTGTTTTGGAGCACTCAAATGATTATTACTTTTTAAATATTTTTCTCTTATATTAATCACCTATGGTCTGCTAAAACTGTTAATCCCCATATCTGTAATTCTAAATGTCCTTACAGGTAGATTTAAAGTACCTTTTCTTCTTCCATAAATTAAAATAATATTATTCTATTTTTTATATTACTGTTTCCCCCTCTGATTCCTTAGCCCATGTGGGATTAATTAAAAAGGACTGTAAAATACAAAAAATGGCTCTATAGACTTACTAGCTGAAGAAATCAGTGATGTATGTTAAGAAAAAAAAAAATAAAACCTGGTTCTCCCCTTTACAGATGAATGGGAAGATTGTGCATTCTCTTGTGATCGGTGGGACCATGCAGCTCAGGCTCCCCAGAGAGATGTGAATAGAAATAATGCTTCGAACACAAACCTGAATCATATCGGTAATTCAGGTTTTTTTTAAAAAAAGAAATGTTCCCCAAATAGATTGTTACTGTGCTGATATAACTGCCATGTACTTTTATGCTTACCTGTATGTTGGTTCTCATATAATTTATTCAAGAAAATGTACTAAATGTCTTATTATTACAGGAGCCAACTAATTGAATATTTCTTGTATAATCTTACATAATCCTGGTATAATCTCATGTATTTGCTGAATTTGCATCAACTAGCAAATCATTTTATTTAGAACTTTAGGGCTAATAATATATATACATACATATATATATATATAATGATAAAAAAAAAGCAGGAAGAAGAAACCGTATTAATATGTAATTAGTTTATGTAGAGTTCTTTATTCTAAATTGTCAAATATGTATTTCTTGAACCTTTTGGTCTATATATCCTATTTATAATAATAGTGCCTCATTATTCTGAAGGTCTATTTTAAAGAACTCATGTTTCTTTCTCTGTCTCGTGGCAGTAAGAAAGGTGGTATCCCATTCTGAAAATCGGTAAGGATGTAAAGTGTTGCCTTGCCCATGGTGGTTGTAGAGGCAGACAACATGACGGCATATCACAGGGTATACCATTGCCATCATTCTGGAAGCCATGAAGATTAGTTACTGGACGACTGGGCAGAGCAGAATCTGTCTCAATAAAAAATGCATGTGTTTTTGCTTATCTAAGTAACCCAGAGAAAATAATAAGCAGGAAATTTAGTCGGTCATGCTGACATATATTTTCTAGAAGAAAGAACTAGTCAATCAGGCCTAAAAAGCCCTCATGGGCCTGGACAAAACAGTCTTGGAGCAGGCTCAGTGCTGCCCTGAGTTCTATGGCTAAAACATCATCTATCACTATGTTTTCTAAGTTTTGTTAGATTGCACCATTAGATGTATAAATTTTGAAAAACCAGGTAATTGCCCTTCATCATAAATTTAAATATCATAAGGGATTTAATACATAGAATAAGTGTTGACTTTTTAATATAAGGTGGTGTTGATACTCATTTTAATGTATCAACTGAAAATTGGGTTGTTGAAAAAGTCGCAACGTATTTTTCAATGCAAAAATACGCTGTGACTTTTCCGACAACTTAATATAAGTGCCAGAGAAATTTTATATCTACCATCTTTATTAAAAAACAAAAACAAAAGAAAAAATTTTTTAGAGATTTTATACATTTCTTTTTCTCCTTCACTGTGTGTTTCCTTTCTTTATTTTCCTATATCATTTAATGTCTTTTGTCAATAGTATTATAATTTGTTATAAAAATATATGAATATATTATTCATATGTGTATCATACATTTCAATTTTTAAATTTTTCAGTAAGTGTTAGAAAGTATCTTCTGGAATGAATTGCTTTCATAAGTATTAATACATAATTTACAAAAACAGAATAAGTATATGAAATTGCTAATGAATAGTAAACATAAAAAGTATGATGCTATTGAAAAGATGTCATGATGAACTGACCAAAATTTTGTCTTTTTAAAAATGAGCTTATAAATCAATTCAAACACTACTAGAATGAAATGGGGCCCTAATTTTTAGTTTAATAGACTCATTTGTTGAGAAACTCTGATTACAGATATTCAAATATGGGAAAGAAAGAAGGTTGTTTTATTGTTATGTTTTAAATAGAAATGTTATTCAAGTCTTTTAATTTATTCTGAATATATGCTGAAATCAAAACTATGTTTTATGATGGGACCAGCAGTTAGCGTAATGGCTATGTCGCTGGACCCTCATGTAGTTGACCGCGGTTCAAGTCCTGGACATGGTGGCTTAAACTCACGCCAGGCGTGTGTGCGTGCGTACCCAAGATCCCGAGAGGAGAATGGAGGAGAAGGGATTGCAATGAGACCATCCCCCTTGGGGGGGTGATTTCTCACTTTCTGTCTCTCTCTCTGGCGAGTGCATGCACCCTGTAACAGTACACGTCTCCCCCCCAAAAAAAAATTATGTTTTATGATCAATTTTTAGATACCTTGATTAAGTATTTCATTGAATGTTAACCAGAAAACACTTGATTTACAAAAGGCATTTATTACATACCTATTAAAATCAATCACTTTATCTACACCTATGCCTGTATTTTGAGTGATCCCTTAGCTTGGCCCTTATTTAAAACCCTGTGGTAATGTAACACATTAAGATTCATGAAGGAATGTGCCATTCTGAAAAGGAAGAATGGTTTGAATGTAGGCAGACCTCCCCAGCTGCAACACTGTTCTCAGAATCATATATTTTAGGAAACAGTACATATAGAAGGAGAAAATGATTCTCTTAAAAATAACCATGTCCTTGCATACTTCAGAGAGTATTCACACACTGATTTAAATAATTAGCAAACATATATATCTGCACATTTGAGGTGTTGGATAAATGTTGGGAGACTGAATGAATGTCTTCCCTTTCTCTGTATCTCTGTCTCTTTTCTCTCCATCCTGTGACAAAAACCTAAAAAAAAAAAAAAACCTCAAACTTTAATATATTCTCAGAATATGCTTAAAAAAATATAGTGAGAATGGTGAACTCACTGTGCCTTGCCAAATAAGGATAATAATACCTCACTCAAAAACTCTACTGCAATAGGGAACCAGCAGTTAGCGTAATGGCTATGTCGCTGGACTCCCACGTAGTCGACCGCGGTTCGCGTCCCGGACCCGGTGGCTTAAAACTCATGCCGGGTGCGTGTGCGTGCGTGCCCAAGATCCCGAGAGGAGAATGGAGGAGAAGGGATTGCAGCGTGACCATCCCCCCTGGGGGGTGATTTCTCGCTTTCTGTCTCTATGTCTCTCTCTGTCTGTCTGGCGAGCGCACACGCCCTACAGTGAAAAACCTCTAAAAAAAAAATAATAATAAATAAAAAAAAAAAACAAAACTCTACTGCAATAAATTAAATATGATTAAGGAAGTGAAAAACCCAGCACACTAGCCGTAAAAAATATCCAAATTTGCTTTCATTTTCCTTTTTGTCTTTTTTTTCCAATGGAAAAATACAAAGAATAAAGTCTCAATCAAGTTCAAATTACTAGTAGAACTTCATAGAATAGATTTCAGAAAGTCTCAAAATCCATGAGAATAAAATTATAAGTAAATGAATATATTTATTAACTAAATTCAATTATTTAATAAAAAGTCAATATCTCCTCCATAAGCTGCAAGCTTAAGATTTTATTAGCTTTTAGGGACCAGAGTGGGTATAATGGCTATGTTGCTGGACTCCCATGTAGTCAACCACAGTTTGAGTCCTGTACCCAGTGGCTTAAACTCATGCCAGGAGTGTGTGTGTGCGGGCCCAAGATCTTGAGAGGAGAATGGACGAGAAGGGATTGTGGTATGGCCATCCCCCAGGGGGTGATTTCTCATTTTCTGTTTCTCTGACTCCCTCTCTTTCTGGCAAGCGCACACATCCTATAGCAAAAACCTCTCAAAAAAATATTTTCTTAGGTTTTAAAAATAAATTAGCATTTGAAAAGAAAAATATGCCAAATAAATTTTGAATATGGTAATTTAGTCAAAGCATACCCTGGAACAGTTATTTAGAAGAATGAGTATAAACATGTAATCTTTATATATGGAGTATATATTTCATTTATTCATAAAGAAAAAAATGGATAGTTTTGATTTTTGATTTTAGCAAAATTGAATCCAAATGGTTTATTAAATTAAATAATACATATTTATTAATGAAAATTTAGCATGACTGTGCTATGATTATCATACAATTAACAGATCATTAATAATCCAATTGGAAAACAGTTGAGGGGACAAGTAGAATGATCAGTTATCACATTTGGGAAAGAGACATAAAGACTGTCTTTTTTGGCCTTCCTACCTGTTGTAAACACAAAGTCATATTTTTTTAATTCTGACTTATTTATTTTAATTCTCAAAATTTTATTTAATTTATTTTATACATTCGTTTGTAAAGTGAATTTACCCAGCATAAATACACTTCACTACTGTCCGGTTCAGGATACTATACACATTATCATCAACAGATAATAATCAATTTCTCTGTCCCATTAATGTCTTGCCTCTCCATTTTTTTCCTTAATTTCTTTCCTCAAACACTCCCCTCTTCTCTCATTCTCTTCCCACATGGTCTTCTGTATCCCTAACCATTTTTCATGTTTCTATATCCTCTAGTCTTTCATTTTCTGCCATAGAGTGCAGATAGTTGATGTATGTAAAGGGGAGACATACAATGTTTTTCTTTCATACCCTGCTTTGCTTCACTTAGCAGTAAATCCTCCATATTCATCCACTTTCTATCAGATGCCACAATCTTTTTTTTTTTAATGTCTGAGTAGTATTCCATTAGAGTATATGCATCATATCTCCTCAATCCACTCTTCTGTCCATGGACATTTGGGTTGGTTCCATGTCCAAGCAATTGTGAGTAATGCTGCAATAAACATAGATATGCAAGCACTTTTCCAACTGAACGTCTCCTATCCTTTGGGTAGATACCCAATAGTGGAATTGTTAGATAATTTGGTAGTTCTATTTGTAGATGTTTGAGGAACCTCCATATCATTCTCCAAAGTGGTTGGACAAATTTACAATCTCACCAACAGTGTAGGAGAGATTCCCTTTCACCACAGCCTCAACAGCACTTATCTTTTTTTTTTTTTTTTTTTTTTTTTAATGAATCTTTGCCATTCAGGTGGTACCTCATTGTGGTTTGGATTTGCATCTCCCTTATGATAAGGGATGTTGAGCATTTTTTCATATGCTTTTTGGCTCTTGGTATGTCTTAGAGAGTTGTTTGTTCAGTTTATTTTCCCATCTTTTAATTGGGCTGATTATTTTTTCTTTTTAGGGTAGGCCACTTGAGGTCCCTGTGTATCCTGGTTATCAGTTCCCTATCTGAGACATAGTTTACAATAATCTCTCACTCTAAGGATTGTGTATTCACACTAATTTCTGTATCTTTTGCTGTGCAGAAACTTCATCTGATGTAATCCCACTTGTCTATTTTT